AATAACACTTTTAGAATTTTCTGGAAAACTTATTATTAATTGTTATACCGAACTTGTTAATAACACTAAAAAATTTATTAACCTCCTTAAAAGACTTGAAAAATTCCCTATTTATGATACCATGAATAATCTTTTTAAGTGCAAAAAGCTCTCAAATCACATGGTTATTGTTGTTATGAGAGTTGTTAATATAGTTACATGACTTGTTAATCGCGTTAGTGAAATTATAAAAATACTACTTTTTGAATTTCTTGAAAAACCTGTTATTAACTGCTATATTTAACTTATTAATAGCTTTAAAGAACTTGTTAATCACATTACTCGACTTAAAACAAATCCTCAAAAAAATGTTGCTGGCCTTCAGAACTTCGACGACCGGTTATTGGCCAGTTAGCAATCACTTAAACTTCGGCAGCCGCCACTGTTATCAGGGCTTCGATGATCGCCTGGCTAGTAAGGGTGCTTGATATTTTTCTTTTAAATAAAGGACAATTAGGTCTTTTCAGCAAATTTCAAAATCTCAATTTAATCATGTGCCCAAAAAATTTTTTTCATGATTTAGGTGATTAAATAAGGATTTCAATATTCAAGTGTCATTATAACACCTGACTTTCTATATGTTAATAGGGTGATTTTAATGTCTGTGAATTACTAAACGCTAGGTTTCTGACGTGGAAAAATGGGATAAGTTTTTTTTATCGTTTCAAAACATAAATCATTTGAAAATAAAATTCCAATCTAGGAATTGAACTTGTAAATACATTGGAATTCATTAATTAAATAACTCGAACTTTCAGATTATCTGACAAGTGATTCATAGCAGATTTTGCCTCCAACTTATATTAATAACACCTACAAGGATTTCAAATTGTGAAATTTCATAATATTATGTTAAAATATAGTAACCATCTCGGTCAACGACATTTACCTATGCCCAGCAGTGCTCTCCTCTTTATAGAGGATACAAAATAATATTTACATAAAGCAAGTACTAGTTACTTGCCCACATAACATATATAAATATTAACTTATCAAAATATTTTATTATATATATACAAAATATAGTAGGTATCCCTGCCCTTTAACTAGACCAACCTTTTCTTATACAATTTTCTTTCTCATCGAGCTATTTGCCTTTGCTCCATGTCATGAAAATGAGGGTGAGATTCTAAAGAATATCCATAGTAGTAATTTCCATCAAACCAATGTGCAGAGTATATAAAACACGCAAAACAAGCCAATGTGAAATAAAACCTTACAAACTAATACAATTAAACATTTATACACAATGACATATAGACAAGTTAAATAAATAATGCATAAATAATTGGTAGATACTGCACTATGTCTATCAACTACATGTGACCATAGCTAAATAATTCATGCAAAGAATTAAGGTTGCATGTTCTCATGCTTTAAAATAGCAATATGGTACAAACAGACATACAATAATCATATACAAGTGTAAGATAGGAAAAAACTACTACTTGGGTCTCCCTGCTCCCAAATCAAACCTGATTTCCTTCTTTTTATGCTGTGTCCTTGGTGGGTTTATGCAAATGTTCAAACCTATCACATATGTAAGGGTAGGTTACCATTTGATCCAACTACAGTCCATGAAATTGAACACCTTTCTTTAATTCCCAATTTCTTTATTCTCTAGCCTTACTTAATGATTGATCATCTCTAGTAAAAAATATTAACTTAACTATTACATTTAAGGATAATTGTTGTGTCCCATTCATTATGCCGATTTCACTTTTATGAAGTGATTGGTCGTCATGGAAAATAAAAAGTAAATATATATATTTATATATCAATGTCCACAAATCACTTTACAATACTTAACCACTCGCACTCAATACATGCATACATGTATATGTTTACAAGCCCAATTACTTGATTTTTAATCAAGTAAGTTTAATCTTAATGACCCTTGGACATTTATTCTCAAGCATTTGAATCCAAACTAATCAAACTCCAACTATTGATTAATAAGTTTTGCCATTACTAGCAAGCTTTGGCCGACAGACATATGTGTATTTAACTCTAATTATTTAGACTTAGTTCAATGAAATTTAATTTTACCTTTTGATTTAAATTAATCAATTCAACTATTACTTGACAAGCTTGCCCGATTCACACATGTATGTTCAACTTGAATTAATCATTCTTCAATTATCCTCAACATTCTGGGCAACTCGATCTTTTGGTTCTAGAATTATTCTCAGATTTGAGAATTGTGGTCAAATAATCATTCTAGTATCCTCAAGTTAGATAGCACCATAGAAAGACCTTTAGTCACTCACCATTAACCTCAGGCTTATTCTCCAGAAAAAGAGATTAAAACAATGTCTTAACAGTGCATATTCCAACAGTTTTAAATACTTGCTTAAGATTCCAAGTTTTGACGAATGAGTTCCTCATCAAGAATCAATTAATCTTCATTTAAAAGCCTCTATCTGAGTCTACGTAAATTTTCAGCAATACTACAACCAGTTGACACTTTCCTAAATATTTGATATTGCTTTGAGCTATCACATACTTAATCTGGAAATATTTTCCTGATTTATAATTATGTGTTCCCAAATTTAAATTTAGCATCCTTAATATTCCTTCCTTATGCCAATTCTACATTATTACTAGTCATACACTTCTAGATGTCCTTATACCCTCAAATTTGGACGGCTCTCGATAAGCTTCTCTTCTTCTTCTTCTTTTCTTTTCTTTTCTTTTTTTTTTTTTAAATTTCCTAGCTTCGATAATAATACACAGATTATCAGTTTAGTATCTCCAAGTATGACTTAATCATTTATCCTAGATATTCAGCATTTGAGAACACAAAACAATAGACTCCAATCAGATTTTTGGTTCCCACCAAATTCAACAATTTCTTGTCTTATTAAAATCCCAGATTTTGGCATCACTTTTCCATTTTCAGACCCAAAAAATTCTGTCCATCTTAATATAGAATAAGGCACTGAAACTGAAAACATAATCAGCCCGCACACCAACAAATATACATCCACTTGGTTCAACCGTTTTTTTTCCTCCTTGAATTCAACGGACTACCTCCCCTATGCAATAATCCTAGATTCAATAGTACACACTCATGACATGTATATATTTATATACAATACTTCATTCTTCTCTTTCTAATTCCATAAAACCCAAAGCCATTATCAAGAACAAAATGGAACACAGATCAACAACAAACTCATTATTTGAATACTTCATAAACCAAGTCATCTTCCTTTGACAGATAGATTTTAATCACCTCCGTTTCGAAGGCCCCAAACCAGAGAAAATCAAGCAAAACAAACACCCAACTAACCAAACACTTCCCCAAGTGTGTGTGTCTATATATATCAATTTAAATCCCCAGCACTGCACACCCAAACTTTCTCTTCATTTTCTCATTAAACCAGAGCCATTTCCCTAAGCCATTAACCCCTGTTTCGGACACTAAGAACCAGAGAAGAAGAGCAACATCCAACAACAAAATCAACATGCAACTCCACATTTCATCTACACAAACTTTAATCTACCCTCTTCTAGGATTATTTCACTTGTTCCATGACTTTCTCTCACTAGAGCCAAATTTATTATCATCATCAATTCCTCGTACGGCCACCAATCGAAGAAAATGAAGGTGGAAGAAGGTGCGAGGGAGTCACCTCAGTCAGAATCAAGTGTTGCATGTAAGAGATTCTCCTCCGATAAGCTTCCTCCGGTCACCCTCTTCCTCTTGGTCTCTCATGTTTTCTCTCGATTCTCTCTCTGTTTTTCAGAGTTTCAGATGGGAAAATGAAGAGGAAGAAGGCGTGATGGCAGGATATTAAGGTCTGCATGTGGTCGCTACTGCATACCGTTCATGACCCCACACTTAATGGTTCTTATTTATTACTCAGGGCTAAGGATAACTTGAAGATGTTAACTTTTATCCTCTCTTTTCTCAGCGGTGTTCTATTTTTTTTAGGTTGCCCGCCCAGTTCACCGGAGTTTTGTTCCTACTACATCTGGATCCGACTCGGGTCGTGCACTTGGCTATGGTGGGTGAGTCTTCCAACAAGAATTTCTACATACGCTGAGACTCGAACTTGAAATCTCGTTTAAGCAATACCAAGCCGCTTACCACTTGGACCAACCCTTGTTGGTAGCGGTCTTCTATTTTGATACTTCTACTTTGTATTTAGATTGATTTGCAATAATATTCCCCCTTTCATTCAGAAAAAAAATTAAGGTATGCGTGTGGAAAGTACCAATTTGCCCTTCTATGTTTTACTTGTTTTCACTTTCATCCTTTCTCAAAATTTCTGAAATCCCGGAATAAATCCAGAAATTTCTATAATTTTTCGTGTGGATTTTTCTTCTCCATTAACTTCTTTGACCTATAAAATAATTTTTATAAAAATTTTGAGTCAAAAATCAACTCCTAACTATTTTTCCTAAATTTTTCAATAAAATAGACCTTAATTTTTCTATAATTTTTCGTGTGGATTTTTCTTCTCCATTAACTCTTTGACCTATAAAATAATTTTTATAAAAATTTTGAGTCAAAAATCAACTCCTAACTATTTTTCCTAAATTTTTCAATAAAATAGACCTTAATTTTAGAAATTAATAGTTAGCTCATTTTAAAGATTTTATGTCTCAAATAACTTCTTTACCTCGTAAAATAATTATCCTAAAATGTGTAGCTTAAATATAAATCTCTAACTATTTTTTCTTAAATTTTCTAGGGAAATAGGCCATTTTTCTCCAAAAATTAACTTTAAAATTATTTCTAAGTTTTTATTTTCTTATCATAAAATAAAATGCAAATACTCCAATTTATGCACATGCATCCAATTTGTTTTGCCGATCACAACCCAACTGAAAATTGACCACGTCATTGACCTAATATCAACCAATCATATACTTACACGTTAACACAGTCTGAATGGTTCTGGAACTCTTTTTTGGGCCCTAAAATCTCGACTCCGCAACTCATAATTTTATTGTGGGGCTGGCTATAAATTTTCCGTTCCAAGCGTTTGTTGGTGTGTATTTCTGCAGCAGCATATTCCGTGATTCCTCCTCAGATTTCTTTGTCTGTCAATCTGCTCTTCCGCCGCCTCAACCGCATACTCTAACCATGCCTCGCCGCAGCTCCAGTGGTAACTGGCTGCCCTCTAATCGATTTATATTTCGTGTTCATCTTCTGGACATTCGTCTATTGGGAATCTATAGGATTAGCTCTTCGATGATATCTAGGGCTTTTTCAATTTTCCTGTTTCGTTGTCGAAGAAATTTGAGATTTTTAGGGTTCGACGTTTTTCGCTTGAAAGGTTTTGTTGTTGATGAACTCTAGACGTTTATGCTTTTGCTGAAGCGTTAGTTCCGTCTTTTCCAAAAAATGGGAAATCGTTTACTGTTTCCAGGGAGGTATTTTTCTTTAACCCATTAATTTTAATACAGTGATGCATATGCTCTCTCATTTCTGGTGATGCGTGTTGCGTAAGTCGATGATTATTTAAGCAAGATTTTTATGGGGTGTTGGCAAAAGCTTAGGTTGCCCCTTTATTGAGAATACTTTGACCCTAATCGGATTTTTATCCTGACTTTGTCTTTTGTGTTTATTATGGTTTCAACTCTGCGGTCTGTGATGTTGCAAACGGCAGTGTTTTCTTGGAACATTTCTTTTAGTGTCATTTGTGGTTATTATGGTTTCAACTCTGCTTTCTGTGATGTTGCAAGCGGCTATGTTTTCGTAGAACATTTCTTTTAAGGAAACATTTGAAATGTAAGCTAGGTCCTCTGTCATCCAAGCGTTTGCTGCTATTATATTATGATTATTTATTTATTTTGCCTTGGTTAAAAGCTTCTGAATGACTGAACTAACTAATCAATAATTTGTGTATATTGCGCTGAGAGGTCATAGTTTAGCTGTGTGATCCTTTATGATATGATTATCGTTGCAGGAAGATCTTCTCGCTCAGCACCTCGTCCAGCAGCGGCTCGTAATCCCCCACCTCAGCCAGGTAAATAAGAATATGATGCAATAAATGGTTAAAATGTCAAATTTTTTTCGGTTTCAGTTCACAAAGTTAAGCTGTGAACCATGCTTCTAATGTACGTTCCGAAAAGATTAACTGTTTTGACAACAAAGTTAAGCTGTTCTTAAATCTAAATAATGATGAAGGTCTAATGTGCCTTCTAAAGAGTTTCGTTGTGACATGGTATTAATATTACTCAGCCAGAAACTTATGTGGTTTAATTTTTGTCTAACCTTGGTTATGTCTTACTGCAGCTCACCATGCTCCTCCCCCAGCTCCCGCTCAGAGTGGCAGTGGTGGCTCTCTGCTTGGTGGCATTGGTTCAACCATTGCTCAGGGTACTTTAGTGAATATGATTATTTCATTTTAACGTATGGGATGAGACCTGTGAAAACATATTTCTTTGTGCTTAATGGATGGGAAAAATTGTTGTAGGCATGGCTTTTGGAACTGGCAGTGCAGTAGCGCACAGGGCTGTGGATGCCGTGATGGGTCCCCGAACTATTCAACATGAAACAGTTGTCTCTGAGGGTGCCGCTGCAGCCCCTGCACCAACAGCAAACAGTCTTGGTAGCGATGCCTGTGGTGTTCACACAAAGGCCTTCCAAGATGTATGCATTTCTTTCCTGTTCTGGCTATCTGAGTTATGACCCTTAAATCAAACCTTAACTTGCGCAAGTGAACAACTCTTTACAGGATGGATTTCTCTCAAATTCACCCATTCTTTTAATGTTTCGAATGCTATATGCTTTGATATGTCCATTAGTATTGAAATATCTTAAGCAACAGAAAATAATAACTATCTGATTAACATTCTACGAGACATGCGAGATCTTTGTGAAAGGTTCTTAGTCTTTAGCAGTTCCTCATGTCAGATGCGTTTCAAATGTTTGTTGCATGATTGTGCTTTCCATGCTTTGCATGAATTTCATGTGACTGCACCAGTATGGCGTCATCACGTATATCATATATCTTTCACGTTTCAGTTTGTTTTACTGAATAACTGGACTAGTGTGATTATTTCATTGGCTTCACAATCTATTTTTAAGCCAAACATGTTTGAATCTTATTGTTCCTGCTGTTGATTAATTATTTCATCTCTAATATTTGCTGACATTAGAGATGTGTGATTATTTTCTTGCAGTGCCTGAACAGCTACGGGAATGACATTAGCAAGTGCCAATTCTACATGGACATGCTAGCAGAGTGCAGGAAGAACTCTGGAGCCTCATTGAGTGCTTGAGTTATTTTCCCTCTGCTCTTACCCTTCTGCAATGAGTCATCTCCGCCATGAGTCAGCATCAGTGTCACTGTCCTAGACTGTCTCTGATGGTTAAGACTATTCCATATGTGGTTGTCGGCTTTACTTAAATAAAGCCTTTTATGGAGGAAGATGGAAAGAAGACTTTTTGCATGAACCATCAGTATTCATTCATTGCTATTATGATCTTTGGATATCGTAATTGGTCTATTTGGTCTGCTTTATATGTGGATCTGTTTGATGGTTGTCATGTTGAACTTGAGCGAAACAAGTTTCTCTGTTTAACGATATTAATCGTGGGAAACTGACATTGAAACAATTCTGATTTCCCTATCTATACAGTGCTGAAAAGGATTGACGATAGATGGAGCTGTCATGGGCTCTTTCGTTTGAATAGTGTTTTCTGAGCTCATTTTGATTGCCCCTCTAATTCTGCCAACTAAATAAGCTTCATTCGTGTAACAGGATGGTTTAGCAAATCACACTGACACCCTTGGAGCTCAATTCCTTTCTAATATTCCAGTTTAGTCCAACTAGGACAGTTTTACCTTTGAAGAGATTCAAACAGCCGCTGTTTGAGTGTAAAAAACATGTCATCCTTTTTATGAAGGGAGTGTGATGCTCACGCAGCTTCCTGAGGAAATGTTTTGATTATGTTGTCAGCTTTATGTTTGGAAAGAATACTACTAATTTTTTTTTTTTTTACGACTTTTGGATGCTTTATCTGGTCTCTATTTTCCTCCCACTTTTTCCTCCATAGACATTCAAGCTTCACTTGCACGTTGCACAGGTCTTGGGAAGTGTATCAGGCTGAGCTAGCTTACGTTCTGTTTCCTTCTGCTGCAGCCACTGTAGCCCAAGTGAGCCGCCATCTCCATTCTTAGTTGCCATACATGCAGGGTCAATATCTCCAGGGAATTTTGTGCCTTTCCCCCTAATTAGGAGCAAACATGAGAACTTGGTAATACGCTGAGAGAGCACGGAATGTTTCTAACCACCATCCTTAACAACGGCCTAAATATTGCCCTTCATATTCTGCATGTCTGCTAGTTGCCGTTCACCCACAAACACACTTGTACATCTTCTGCGAGATTTTTTTAACATTAAGAGGCAGGTCTCATCGAAGTTTATTCATCAGCATCGTCTTCATAATTTCACACTTCCTCCTGTTAGCTCTTAACAAAAACTTGGGCATTTTCTATGCATTTGCCTCTGCATTGCTGCAGCCACTAACGGCTTGACGGTCATAAGTGTGATTGGGTCCACAATCTCTTATTTATTAAGAGAGTTTTTAGGACATTAGAGTACAATTTTTTTTTTTTTGCTAGGGCATAGGTATCCTCTTATGGGAAGCAATTCTATTTGAGGCACTGTCAGGCACTAAATGTAGGCATTTCTCCCAATAGGGATTCAAATCTTGATTCGCTACTTTGTGAGGGACTAGTCTCTTCCGTTAGATCCAACCCCGTTAGTATTACAATGTCATTTTAGTTATAACATAAATGTTCCTTAATATGTTGGCGCATACCTTTGAGTAAGCTTTTAGGCCTTACCATTTCAGGGGAATCAATCTTCAAAACAAGAACTAACGGACCTGACCTGCAACAGACATCACTTGTTGCAGCATCCATAAAGTCTCTCACTAATGTCATAGCCACTGCTACCCAACTTCAGGCATCCACTTCAATTTTCTCATAAACATATCTACATCTTGCTTTCCATATCCCCCAGCCAATACTGCTTTCTATTAATAAAGAAGATATATAAAATTAAGAAAATGAGAAAAATGTTCAAGTAATTGCACACCCGAGAAAAGACAAATGCCAAAATAGATTAAAGAGATCAAATGACAACATCAAGAGAGGTTAATAACATTCAACTTGTTTGGTAGAAGTAGGATTAAAGGCCAACCTATTAATCTACATTACTTGTTTCGTTTTTACCCATGAAAAATATTCAGTAATTTTTAAAACCTAAATATAATACATACAAATCATATAACCCACTTTAAACCTATATAAATATAAATATATATATATATATATATATTACATTAGTAGGAGAACTTGAAGTTCCAAGTAAAGAACATAATTATTAAGAAGTCTTTGGACAATAAAAAAGCCAGCAATAACAAGTTCTTAGATAGTAAATAATAACTACTCACTTGTCTTGTTGGTATTTTTTTTTGGGACCTCATTGTAATTCTCCCTGCATAACTTTGCATTATTTTATCATAAGGTTTAAGTTCAATTTAACTCCAAAAGTTTTCGTGTAGGAAATATAAGTATCTGGAAGATTTTTTGGATTAATATTATTTTGAAAGTATTAAGAAAAGAGTAAAGTCACCTTAACCGTTAAAAAAGTTAAAATTGATTGGTTAAAAATTAATTTTTAATATCCAGAAGCGATATTACTCATCTTTTATTATTTTTGAAGTAATATTGATCCAAAAAATTTTTGAACACTCACAACTCCTACATAAAAAATTTTGATGGCAAAATTACACCTTAACATTTTATCATAAGCAACATTCGACAAAGATAACATGTTCATGTTCATCCATACCACATGTGGATATTATAAATCAAATTTTCACAAATATGATAACAATCATAATCATGTCATTTGAATCTATCATTCATCAATCATTTAAAAATAGTAATATTTAAATCAAATATGGAATTAGAAATGAGATTAATCCTTGATTTTTTCTTATCATCTTCATCATTTGCATTCTGCAACAAAAAATAAAATGAATACATTATTGAATATAATTATAGACATAAATCTTTTATCATGCATAATACAAAGTGAAACGTAATCACAAGAGCAAGTCTTTGAACTGTATAGATATGAGAAATCATCTTCGGATGTTATCCCTGATTTTAAAATGCTTGAATCCAACCAAATATTACTTGATTTAAAAAATATCAAGTATATGAAGTTCTTTAGGTACCAAACTTTGAATTACAAATCAAAAGGCAAGGAAAACTTGCCTTCCTCCTACATCTTATTGGAAATTAAGCAATGACAAGAATTATGCCGTGGTTGAAGCCTTTTTTCCCCAACTACATAATTATAAAAATAAAAATATTATTTTCTTTTTCTATAATATAAATATGAATTTAAATTAATATATATTATATTTTAGTAAAAAGAATTAATTTTAACAACTTTTTTATTTCAGATATTGATATATGTTTAAAATAAGAAAGTATCCACGTAATTTTAACACAGTTTAACAAAATAATATATTTTATTTTAATATGGAAGGTGTGATTCCTTGGCCTCAAGTCCTCAAGTAGCTAATTTATTTTATAATAAAAATCATAGTAAACACTAAAATCAATATGACTTTTGTTTTCTTTATATTTACATAATTTGTTACCCTTTATTTCCTTTTTCCCCTGACTAATTTCTCTTGTTGGCCTCTATAGTACTCAACCGGTCAAAGAGTTCACACAAGAATTTTTTTTTTTTTTAAAGAAGGCGTGTTTCCCAGTGCTCCTTTAATGGAGATTTAAGCATCTACCTAATTGAAAATTTTTCTTTTCCTTGTAATTATTTTTGCATATTTCTAAAATTAGTGCATTCTATCGCCATCTGAAAAAAAAAAAAATCAATAGACTAGGCATACTTTTCTCCTATAAGTGGAATTTAACTGATTAATGAGAAGGAAAATGGAGTAAACCCTTACACATAACCCTCTTCTATCCCCATTGCTTTCTTATTCCTCCACTCTCTTTTCTTCCTAAACCCAACTTCTTTCAATACAAAACCTCTCTCTCTCTCACTGCATTGTCATAATCTACCCTTGAGAAAGTTGATGCAGAGTCTTCTCCATGCCTCCTTATCCGGCTCCCTCAAAGCCAGACTCGCCGCCGCCTCAGCCGCATAAGCTTCCTGTGACCATCACAAATCAAACACCGATAATGGGTGAGAGTTATTATTAGTGCACATAACACAAGTTTCTACCTGAAATACCAGAAGATTACAGATAGAGAGAACAGGACGAAGAGGTTCATAGGTACGCACACCCACACACATATAACGATAATAAGCCCTGTTCACTGTTCACTAAGTGAGCTCGGCTACATGGACACCATTTTGGGATGTCATAAGCTACTCCATCTGTCCCGCTTAATTTTCTACCACTTCTCAAATGTTTTTTTTTTCCCTTGTTTCTTTTGTTTTTCTTTTTTGGTGATGTTTTTTCTTGTCTTTTTTAATCATCAGATTCTATATAAAATGAAATGAATGACATTTTAATAACTTACGAGCAAAAAAATAATAATACAGTTTTAAATTTTATTTTTTTCTTTGAGAAATCATTAAAAAAAATACAAAACTGCATTTTTTTTTTGCTTAAAAGATATCAAAATATCACTTTTTCCATTTTATATATAACCTAATGGTTAAAGGAAACCAAAAAAAAATTTAGAAAGTGAAGAAAAATTAAGCGATAGTTGAGAAGGAACACTGGACGCCCCAAATCCCACCATTTCATGCTATCAGCAACTAATAAATCTTTAGATATACACATACCATGATGAAATTGCGTTGGATGAGTCGATCGATGAGGTGAAGAAGAATGTCTTTGGTGTACTCAGGGTGGCCTTGAATTCCCATGATGTGATCTCCATACCTAAACATCTCAATTCCTGTTTTCTCCGACCACGCAATCACCTCCGCCTTTGCTGGCAGCTCTCTCATCTAACTTTTTAAATGGCATAAGCTAAATCATTAAGTAATTAAGCACGTAGGCTTTCTCACTGACAACTAAATATATATATCTATATAATACTCCTCTGGTCCTATTTAAAAGGCAAAAAGATAAGATATTTTTTAGTCCTATTTACAGAGTACTGAGAAAATTTTTTTATATAGATGTACAATTTTACCCTTCATTTATTATTGTGTTGGCTTTGTTTACATGAGGTATAATGTATATTAAATAGGAATAAAGTTAGAAAGTTATTAAATTTTAAATGAGAATTAATAAAGTCTAAGGTTTTTTTTAATCTTTGTGAAATGTATTAGAAATGAATTATAAATAAGACCAGAAGAAAAGTATATATATTCTGTGTGTGTTTCTCCATGGTTGATTAGCAAATAGGCATTTAAGTGGGATTATGAGGAGGTAGATAAGTGGGTCAAAAGTGACGTACGAGAATATGTGTTTAATGATTTTAGATAATTCAACCTATTAGAGTCGTCGCTTTTAGGAAAGGGACACACCTCGTCACGATGGCATTCTATTATGGAGAGCCTTGAAGGCAGCTTGAGAGAAGACAGGGCCAGTGATGAAGATGATGACAACGTCACCGTTCTGACACCGATGTCCCAACCTGTGGGAGATCGAGTCACCTTCCCTCCTAGTGCTCGGCCAAGTATCT